AAACCGGAGAGGGCTTCCCACGTGGCTCTTTGAAGGGGAGCAAGTGAGGTCAGCGCGGCCGCCTTCCTGCGAGCGGTTACACGAGAGTGGGCGCGCTCACGCCAATAGGACTCCTCTGCTCCCTGGAGCCGGCGGACAATGAGGGGCATCCGGTCAGTCTTAAAATCCATGCTGATGTGATACCTTTATTAAAATGAATCCCTAATTAAGATGGAGCTGCTCATCATTTTATCCTCTGAATGTAAAGGAATTTATTTTATTTATATGACTTTTGACACCGCTGCCAAGGGCCGTTCTTATTTATTCTTTTTAAATCCACCTTTTCTTATGCCTTTGATGTGCGACATACCAGTTAAGATTCTAGTCCTCAAGATTTTTCGGAATAAAGACTTCATTTCGGTAGAAAGGGAAGGCTGGCGTCCTGACGGATCCCTTCATTTCATTTGTGTCCTGTCTTTGCCTTCCCTGAGGGATCTCTCCAGTTAAGATTCTAGTCCTCAAGATTTTTCTGAATAAAGACCTCATTTCGGTATAAAGGGAAGGCTGGCGCCCTGACGGATCCCTTCATTTCATGTGTGTCCTTAATTGCCTTCCCCGAGGGCTCTCTCTTTTCATGGTTTGATCCTCCTAAGAAANGAGAAAGGCCAGCCTCGGGGGCGGGGGGGGGGGGGGGGGAATGGGATCTGAATTCAAAGAAGCGGCAAGACCCACCCAACACAGTCAAATATAAAATAGTGGCAGGGGGGGGCGTGGCATGAAAATAAGTGGGTAAGGAATGGCTGGCCTTGCTTATCTGCTATTATCGCTCTATTGGATATTTTTTATTTAGGAAAGAGATCTATTTACTGCCCTGAAGGCAAGACGGTAGACGGAAAGTGTGTTTGTTAGTGATTAGTATATAAGTCTGGAAGCAAGGTGGCCTGTTGTGATCCAGAAGATCTTTTTCCCCCCATCCAGTCCTTCCAAGTGATGTGGAACGGCACGGCACTCCGAGCGCTGCCCGCGGTGGGGGAAGCGGGGCCTTTCGGATGCTGGCAGCTGCTTCTCTGTAGAAGCCTGTCCTGGAGAGGGCAGGGGGCAGAGAGAGATTCAAGCCCCCCCCCTTCTCTCTGCACAAAACAGAGGCTCTACCGTTGAGTGCCAGGCCCTCTTTCAAATGATCCACCGTCCCAATGGAGGGGTGTCCCCTTGGTCCAGATAGATTTTTGCTCTAAAAACATCATTGTTACTATTCCTTCCATCCCAAAATAATCCCGTGTCCCATAATGCCTTCCTTTCCTGGACAGAGCTCTCCGATGAACGGTGCGGCAGACACCAATTGAGCGGGTCACGCTGTCCTCCTTGCTGGCTCAAGGTTAACCTTTCTCTGTTGGGTCTGGGTTCTAGTTAATAAAGCGTGCATGTGTTCGAATGTGAATTCCAGGTACAACGGCAGGCTTTATCACATGCTCTGTTCCTAGGAAGGCAGCGGGATTTGGGGAATTGTTTAAGGGACACTGTACTTTAAACCCTTCAGGTCGGAGAATGGCTCCAGTGAATTTGCACTGGGAACAGGTTTTCAAATCAGGCTGGGGCCGCCTTCCTGCCCTCCTCGGCTTTCAAACACTGTTAAAGTTGGCGTTTCTCAACATCTTACTTTCCGGCTGTCATGGGCTAACATTTCCAAGATTCAGACAACTCCAAGTGGGGGCAAAAAATAATAATAAGGATGAGGTTAAAGGAATGAAGAACTACAACTTAAATCTATAAAGGTTTTCCTTCCCCATATTTTTTTTGAAGGGGGGGGAAGAAAAGCACTTTAATTAAAAAACAACAGCACACCAAATGAACAGCTCCCATTAAAAAACCAAACCAGTAACATCGAACAATGATGCCCTTGCTAAACAAAAGGATTCTGTTCTGATGCTACCACTTCACAGAATTTTCCGAATGCTTCCTTCCCCGGTATTATCTCTTCGGCCAGTTATGTCGGAAACCTCTGCGGAGAGAAACAACAGAACATCAGTTTCAGTATTTTATAAATATGAACGTCAGGTTCGTTGTTCGCATCTCTTGAAGGAGCCCGGCGGCTGATGCTCCTGGACTCCCCTGGGCTTCAAAACTGCTCCAAGGCTTATCCGATCTGGGTACAGGCCAGAAAAACCTTTGCAAACATCTTGCCGTGTGTGTGTGTGTGTGGCCTTTGGCATTCAGGGCTGACCTTACCTGCTGGATTTCCCCGTCACATAAGACATGCTTTGGCTACCGGGTGGTTGCTGGACTTTGCCAGCTCCTTTCTGTTTGGATGGATGGATTGATTTGTGAAAAAAAAAAGAGAAAGAGGAACAAGAGTCAGAAGCTATTCAGTTATCCATTTCAAAATCAATAAATTCTTCCCTGGCTTCAAAGCATCTTTCGTTCAGTCCCCTTTGGCTACAGCTTCTGGTCACTTCTATTGAGAAAACATAGCCTTAATTCCCCTTTTAACTCTCATTCATTCACTCATTCATTCATTCATTGCCTTACCTTGCCGGTATGGATTTGCTTGGCAGGATCAAACTGTGAGGACGCTTTGGGTTTACTGCTCTCTGGGAAGGAAGTGGGCAAGAGGGTAATGTCAGATACTATTCTTACAAAATAAATAAATAAATAAATAAATAAATAAATAAATAAATAAATAAATAAATAAAGGGGGGGGAGAGACAGATCCACAGCACTCTGGACCATCATCTGCATTTTTAACGTCCTTATCTTTCTCAAAGCTGCTCAGAAAATGCTTAAGAGACAAAGGCAATAAACCGCAATACCAAAAAGCAGTTAAATGAACTACACATTAATAAGGCTCAGTGGCTGGGGTCCTTGGCTGTGTCAGGGGTTTGATTCTCCTGTGCCTCCTGCGAGTAGAGCCAGCCTGGGTAGCCTTCGGCCAGCTGTGCAGTCCCGGGGATCCCCACCCCATCCCAGAAGGAGGAAAGGGGAACCCACTTCCCTGAAAAGGGTCTCCATCAGTCTGCAAGGAGGCAGAGGGGAAGGATTAGAAGATTTTTTTTTTACCGGCAAACTCCCGGAGGTCAGATTTGCTGTAATCAAAGGGTGTAAATGTCTTTGGGGTCTCTGGTTCCTCCAGATGCTGTGAGGGCTTGGCCTTTTTCCTCTCCTGTTTAGGCGTCTCTGTCCCGGAGTCGCTTTCTCCTTTCTCCCGCTTCCGTCCGACTTGCTCCAGCTGTGATAACAAAACCCAGTAAGGGAGAAGAGATATCTAAGCAACGGAGGAGCAGTTACGAGTGTGGGACGACGGCTCAGGAGGCCTGGGTTTGAATCCCCAGATGCCCAAGGAAGCCAAGTCAATGTCACTCAGCCTGACCCACCCTGCAAGCTTGTTGTGAGAATGAGGCAAAGGAAAGAGTGTTATGTATGCAAGAGCAGCCCCCGGAGGCCATGTTTTCATTTTCTTTTCGGGACTGCCTCAACTCCCTCTTCAAGGAGATGGAAACACCTACCGCAGCCATCTGGCGAACCGAGACGGCCATGGCCGCTTCCTCCTTGCGCTCCTTGTCGGCCGCCACTGGTGGTGGGAAGGGAGAAGAGGAGGAAAGAGAAGGAAAAGGTGAGTCAAGAAGCAAGAAGGGTTCCATTTCACATGAGTAAACACGCCAGAGTGCACGAACTGTATGTTTGGGCTGCGTAGAGATCCAAACCCGGATCAACTGAGCCCAAGCTCATTGATCACCAAGGACAAGATCTTCAGGGTTCAGGAAGGAAAACTTCCCTGGAGAGAGAATGCGAAAACAATGCCATATTTAGGTTCGAGAGCAGATCCAGAGAGCTTACATTCACTGGATCTGGTCAAACGGAGGTCTTGAAATAGATAAAATACTTCCTGATTGTGGAGTCGGAAGAGCCTTAACAGAGAAAACCTGTCTCTGTTGCAGCTGCTTTCAGTAATCTGTTTTTATTCCTGCATTCCTCCTTGTGGTACTTTGAAACTTACCGCTTAGAGCTATAAAAGAGTAACTGTTTTATTAGTCCCCCAGAACCACTTTAGTGATTCTCCCTGCTTTTGAAAGCAATAAAGATTTATGGTTTTATTATGAAAACTGGGGCTGTGTTCCATTTTGTGACCCATCCACCCCCAGCCAGTGAATGGGGGGCGGGGCGGCGGCAAGTCAGTGTTCCCCAACAAGCTTTCCTAAGAACAGATCTATGGCTAGATCGGAACCTAGGTCTGGGTCACTCAGGATACTGAACAGCACCTGTGCAAATATTGTCGCTGTAACCACCATCAAAGGAGAAAAAAAGGGGAAGGGGGGAAAGAGAACGGAACACAACGGCCCACATGCAAAGCACAACAGGAACAAACCACCACAAGTCAGAATCACCTGGCTGCTGGAGCGGCTTCTTCTTTGCGGCTTCTTTCCTTGTTCCCCTCTGAAGCTGTGCCTGGCTTAGCAGCTTCCACCGATTACTGATCTGGAAACGCAAACGCATGGTGCAACTTTGCTGCTGTTAAAACCACAGTCCTGCCTGCACCCTGTCAGCCGAGCCGACCCCCTCCTCCCGCCTTGCCCAGGAGGGAGTGGAGGGAAGGATGCTCAGCAGGAGAAAGGCCCTGCTTTAGCTTCTCAAAGCCCCGGGTTCAAGTCTCAGCACCCCCAGTTAAGTCTCCTACACTCGGCTCCCTCTGTTCCTCTTTAAAAAAAAATTTATTCAGAATAATGAGGACTAGGATCATTATATTTAAAAGAACCATCATGCTGTGAACCAACAGAGGTCTTAAAGGAGATAAAGTTGCTTAGGAAAACTAAAGAGGGCAAGAGGGTCCAGGATTAATCCCTGCAAAATCTCCAGGTAGAGCCAGGGAAGAGGCACACTTAAAACCCACAGAGCCTCTGCTAGCCAGGGCGGGCATGGCTAAGAGAGCTCAAGGCTCCGATTCAGCGTGGTGGGAGCTTCTGGTCTTCACATGCTTTAAGGGAAGAGGTGCAGGCTGGTAGCAGAACCCCTGCTTTGCTTTGGGACCTTTGCAGGTTCCATCACCAGCATCTCCACTTTTTTAAAAAGAAAAAAAGTAGAGGTACAGTAGGAACACCACCACCCACCACCCCCGCCACCATTCACAGCCACCACCACCACCACCACCACCACCATTCACATGAGGATCAGGATCTGCAGGCTTCATTTATCCACTCCCTGAAAATATGAAATGGCCATTTCATCCGGTCATCCTTCCATCCAACTTATCGGCACCCCGTACCTCGTAGATTTTCGACGACGGATCGGACTTGGCTGACTGGGAGACGTGAGCAGAACTTTGTTCGGCTGGCAAATACTGAAGGCAAAGACAAGACAGAATCGTGTATATATATGCATGCCGTTTATATTGTTCAGATTCTCAAACACACACAGACACACACAAAACACACACGTGTCATTGAGAATCTGAACAATATTAACGGCATGCACGCGGAATCTGAAGACCAACTTGTGTTGAAGGGAAAAGGCGCTTACCATGCGAAACGGGTTTTCAAATGACTCCATGATACGGCGGGCTTTCCGCTGTGGGACCGTTAAGCTCTCCTCTCCTTCTTCCCCTCTCCCTTCGGGCTCCTTTAGATACAGAGAGGGGGGAAAGAAAAGACTCATTTTATCAATAGCAATATGAGGACTTAAGGACGCAGATGGCTTTTAATTTACTGAATACTTTATAATCCAGAAGGCTGCTATGGGACATGGGAAAACTTGTAATTTCTGCCTTCCTTTCTCCCACAGTCACACTTTCCCCCCTTCTTTTTTGGACTGGTATTTGTCCACAACGGGACAACATTTGCAAAGTTCAGCAAATTCTTTTTTCACACACACTCTCTCCATCCCCACAATTTTCACATCCCTTTGCTGCCAACACAACTTACGTTAAAAATGCTGATGCTGGCTCTCAGGAGGAGGGACCCCTGCAAGCCATCCGTCTGGTCCGTCTCTCGTTCCGATTCCGAAAAAAGACTTGCATATTCTAAAGCTGGCCCAGGAACTGCAAAGGGGGGTGGGGGTGGAAAAAAAAGAAGAGAAAACAAGCTACTTTTATCTATTAATTTTTTTTAATTCTCCGTTTTCTCTCAAGACGTTCCGGGGGAAAAGCCTTCCCGGTTCTCTTGCCTTCTGCTTTCTTCTCCTCTTGGCTGTAAAAGCTCACCAGCCCGTTTTTCCTACCCGGCTCCCCAAGATTACCTGGAGGCGAGTGGTTCAGCTTCTCCGCTTCAGGGACATGCGAGGCGTCATGGGGTCCAAACAGGTGGTTTTCCGGCTTCTGCCACGAAAGGTTACATTTTTAGAAAGTGCAGCTCATCCTGCTTCCTATTAACAAACTTTCCACCCTTCAAAGCAGCGGTGAGAAATTTTGGAAGCCAGGACTCTGTTTGGGCAGCGCATGGCGGTGGAACTCACTGCCACAAGATGACACAGGAGGATTTTTGGAGAGGGCTGGACAAATCCGTGGGGAATAAAATCGCCAGCATCTAGTGGACATGACGGCTTGGATCAGAGGCAGTGTGGCTCTTAATCAGGGGTAGGAAAAAGTTACTTTCCTGAATGACCACTCCCAAATCCTCCTAGCCATGCCCAGACAGGTGTCCCCTGTGGGGTGAACAGGAGGATGAATCAGAGAGGAATTCACTCTGATTCAGGCCTGATCTTTCAAAGTTTTCTGTGTTTCCTTGCAAAGTAGTGAGGGCTCCTTCTGCTGCTCAAGAGAGGTTGTTTTTTTGGGGGGGGGAACACGCAGGGGTTACAAGACAGCCTCGCCAGGTAAGGTAAAAGGTAAAGGTTCCCCTTGACAAATGGCCCAGCCGTGTCCAACTCTAGGGGGCGGTGCTCATCCCCGTCTCCAAGCATTGCAGAAATCATACCTCCGTCTTCCGAAGCGGCCCTCTCCTTTTCACTCCAACAGCGACTTCGGACTAAGAGAGGATGGGAGAAAAACCGAACAATGAAAGGACTAGAAATGTAACAGTTAAAACTAGAACGTTTTCCGAACTCTTCCTTCCCCTCTCCAGCTCTCTCTTCCAGACGTACATATTAGGACGGATTTCCCGACAGACACAAAACACTTCCCAGTGAATGGCCAAACTGCTGCAAAATACGAACATTTGCGTACACAGATGCTTTTTATGCTCAGAAAAATTAAAAGTGGGGTGCAATAGAACGTTAACAAACATCAAACACTTTTACCTAAGCTGTGCAACTAAGGTGAAAGTGGTACGAAGTCAGGATTATTTCAAGCAAAGAACAAGGCACTGGATGCCCCCATCCCCCCTTTTCCGGATGGTGTATCCCACTTCAAGGATCTGTGGGGCTGGCAGTGTGTTTCGTGCCTTAAAGGGGGTAGGCTTCCTACCTTGAGGAGAGGCATCTCTCTGGCCTGCTGGATCAGGAGGTGGAGCTCATTAATCTGTTGCCGAACGAGGGGCGGGACGGGGTTGCAGCAGGCAATGATGCCCTGGGGCTCCCTGGAGAAGGAAGGAGGGACAAGGACGTGGTTTGCTCACAAAGATGTAGCTCATACACCGAGGGATGGAAAGGACAAACAACAAGATCAACGGGATCAAGGTGGTTCTTAAGATTAGGTAGAACAGACAAAGGGGATGTTTCTCCATACAGGGCGGGGAAGCAGCGATGATTCCTATAGAACAGGATGGGGCCCTTCTACCCTCCTCCCCCTCCATTTCCTACCCAAGGGGTGGGGGAAGCCCCCAACAAGATGCTTTGCCTCTCTCGAGGTACCCCAGATGATTGTTTCAGCTGGGGTGCGACCGGCACACCAAGGTTTGCCAAAACTGAGGGGCTGCTGTACTTCTCCGAATGAAGAAACACCATTAAGCCACCCACACTCCCTGGCTTCGTGGAAAATGCCTGCCGAGACTTACTTGGGAAGCTCTTCGGAAACCTTGAGCAGCATATGGTTCGGCAGCACATACCTGCAAGAGAAACAAAGCGGCTCAGGAGAGAGAGACCGATTCTGGGCTTGATCTATACAGGCAAGGCGTGGGCCACTCTGGAGGGACAAAGTTGTCTGGGAAGAAAGGCCCCCCGACAGCCGTTTTACCCTGTGCTCTCGTCCTCTTGGCGGGCCATCTTGTCTCTCCAGGCGAAGAGGAGGCGGAAAGCTGTTAGCTGCTGGGTGTTGAGGTGCTTCTTCTGTTTGCGGTAGAGATCCAGGTAGGAATCTTCCGTGAAGATGGGCTTGATGTATTTCTGGCCAAGAAGAAGGATATCAAACCAAGGGAGAAACATAAGCAGGTGACTGGTGGTTTAGAGGCAGGATCAGGGGAACTGCTAAGCAGGTGGGTGGCAGATCAGAGGCAGGATCAGGGGAACTGCTAAAATAAGGGTGTACCCTGTGGGTCATAAATGAATTCTAAGCCCTCCCATGCCTGGCCCACCCCCCACTAAAATCATTTCCTGTTTCCCACCATGGGCCTAAAATGTGGGGCATGGGGTCCAGCTTCACCTCTGCCTCACCCTCAACCCCCAAAAGACCATCAAAGGTAACGAAAGCCTTGATCTCTTGACACTCTTAGACGATTTCTGGCTGGAGAGGTCAAGAGTTGAGGTCTCTGGCTACGGAGCCAGAGGTTGGGTGTTCGATTTCCCCACTATGTGCCTCCTAGGAGAAGACATCCAGCCTGGGTAGCCTTGGGCAAACGGCACCATCCCAGAAATGCCGGGGAGGCCTTTTCTGTGTATTCTCTACACAGAAATCCCCAAAAAGGTTTGCCAGGAGTCAGAACTGACTTGACGGCAAAAGAGGATGAGGTTTAACGATCTCTTAGAGAGCATCAGGTGAGTGACAGGGACGGTTATGCAGGATCAGCTGACTCCCATCTGGGGTCCAGTTCTTCCATCCTCAATGCTTCTTCCTTTCATCTTGGCCTGAGATGCGGGCAGGCGGGGGGGGGCTCACCTTCAAGCAGATGGTTGTACTTCGCTGCCAGACCCCCTGGAGCTGAGCCGGCTGCCCGTTGGCTCTTTCCCACAGCTCCTCTCTGACTCGGTCGTAGATGTACAGCAAATAATGGGTATCCTCCCGGGCGTAGTGGGCCATCTCTTCTGGAAGGGGACTGGAAAAGAGAGAGAGAAAGAGGATAAGAAAGAGAAAAATGGGCAGTTACATGACTTCCCCCTCTGCGATGCTCTGTTTTTAATCATCCTTCAATTTCCTGGAAATCCTCAGTCCATCTTTCCTATTAGCCCACAGAACAATTCATCCACGTTATGTAAAGATAATGCCTTTTCTTCAAAATCTGCTTTCTCCCACAACTTGGGAGGCCTCTAACAGACCTTTTAAGACTCTCACCAGCCTACCCGAATGGGTCAAGGAGGACAGACAGGTCCAGTCCTGGAGGCCACCCAGTGGCTGACCCCCCCGAGGCTGAAGAATAGCAACGAACTGAAATGGGGATTAGAATGAGAACCACAATATCATTAAGAATCAAGGACTCCAGACGGGAAGGCTTTCAATTAGAAGCTGGCGCTCGGGCAAGATCTGGCAGCCAGATCATGAGCTGGCACGGCCTTTAGCGACCATCCACGATCCAGTCTTGGATCAACTCTGCCGGCTTCGAATTTGCCTCCCTGTTCCACTCAAAGGACTGGTTTCCATTTAGGCAGGCCTAAGTGGCCATGAACCAGAAAGGAGCAGACAGAAAAAACATGGAACCCTTTGAACAAATAAAGGGATAAATGACACCATCCATAACAAGGTTAGAAAAATGAACAGACGCCTTGACGTCAAGGAGTTTGCAGGGAGGGAGCATGCGTGGGGGGGGCGTGTTTTACCGTATCCTCCAGTCGGCCAGCTGGTACTGCTTGTTGGCCTCCACCCCGCAATAGAGCTTCAGCAGGTGGTCCAGGGAGTGTCGGCCGAGGTTGAGCATCCGGGCGGCCTGGTGGGTGTCGAAGACGTTCACCAGATAGAGGCCGAAGTCCCTCTGGAGCCACTCCACATCCGAATCCGCCCCATGCAAGACCTACACATCACACCGGCCAACACAGGGGGTGTGAGTGTGAGGAGAGGGCCCCTACAGACATGCCCTCCGGCTCATCCCCAGATGTCTTTTTCCCCAGGGCACCCCTCGCTGGAAGGACGATTCTGGGCATTCTCCTTCTTCAAGCACCCCGCCCGGGCCCTCTCATACCCAGCCACCGAGATCGGCTGTGTGTGGCAGCCTTAAATAGCCAGGAGACAGCGGATCCTTTATTTATCTCTTCGAAAGATTTTTATCCTGCTTTTCTCTTTCAAAAGGGGGCTTATGTCGCCTTTAAAGCTCAAGACGAGTATATAAGGGTGGCTTACATCGTCAGAAGACAATATTTAAGCTGAAAATGCTATGTGCAGAAATATTGGTGTCAGGGTGAGCAATTCCAACAGGACAGGGTGAGGGTGGGGAGGTTTTTCACCGCCTCTGCCAGTGAGTCGCTTGCCCTTGACTGGGTGGCTTAGCCTCTGGCCCGCCCAGAGAGAAAGAAAGGCTTCTTAGCCCAACTTTGTCTTTCTCTGAGGGTGGGGTTAGGGTTAGGGTTAGATCTCCCACTTGAGACGACTGAGGTGGGATGACTGGCCAATTTACAGCGACTGATTCCTTCACCTTGACGATCTTGGGGTCCGTGAACGGCTCGTTCAAGATATATAGGTCACCACGCAGCTCTAAGGCATCAATGATGAAATCCTCGGTGCGGGTGGAAATCTGGAGCAGGCACGTCAAGCCCAGGAAGCTCCGATAGGAATGGTGCTGGCGTGGAAGAGAAGGAAGTCAAGACAGGGAAGAAGAAACCGATAGAGCCCGAGGATTCATCGAGTCACCTCATTGGTTCCCGTTTTCTGGGGAGGGAAGGCAGCCTAAAGTTCCCCAAACTGGGGTCCCCAGATGTTCTTGGACTACGACTCCCAGAAATCTCAGCCAACACAGCTCATGGTGAAGGCTTCTGGGAGTTGTAGTCCAAGAACATATGGGGGCCCCAAAGTTGGGAACCCCTCCTCTAGAAGTTCTGGACTACAGCTCCCAGAGTTCCAAAACCAGCAACTGGCCAATGGTTAGTGATCATGGGGGCCGTAGTTCCAGAGATCTTGAAGCCAGCAGGCGGCCCACCCCAAGCTGGTACCCTAACTTAACACACTTCTGGTAGCTTTTTAACTGCTCTTCCTAAGGTGATTGGCATAAAGGTTTCCCACAGAACCCCAAATGCCTGCAAAGGTGTCCTTTTCATGACTTCAATGATCCATCAGGCCTTTTAACCCATCCTTCTTCAGGGATTGTTTTAGGCAGTCCCGATGGAAAGGGGGACCCCCCCACCCCCTGCTCACCTCTAAATCCACAGCAAATTCCTTACAAGTGCTCAGCTTCTCATTCAGCTCCACCAGGTCGTCCAAGGTGGAAATAAAACGGCAGGGCGTTTCTGCGAGAGGCCTGAACATCTGGTGGAAGGAAAAGACAGAGGCGCTAGAATTCCCAAGGCATCGAGGCCGCGCCGGCCAAGCCTGGAAAGGGCCTCACAGACAGGGTGGAGGGTCCTGAGCTCCGACCGGAGGTCCCTCACCTGGACTTGTGGTTTTTCGAGCAGTTCTGCCGGCGGTGAAAAATGCTCAAGTTCATACTGGTACGGGTGAGCAAACCTACAGGGAACCAGAAAGCAAAGGATTTGAGCATCACACAGAGGTTGGGAAGCAGAGGCTGAAGCTTTTAGCGTTCTTCTAGTCACACTTGCTTGGGGATTCTTGGAACTGAAATACGAAAAGAATCTTAAACTCTAAATATTCACCGTCAAACTTTTTTACACTTCCATCACAAGAGCGGGAAAAGGTATTCTGGAGACTGTGTGTCTTGCCTAACCGGACCACGGAGTGGGCCGTGCAGGCAAAAAGGTGTCTTCGTATGTCTCTGTTCTTGCCTCAGGCAGTAAAATGTATAAGTGGCAAGGTGTGCTTCTCAACCTCCGGAGTTCCAACTCTGCTCAGAAGCCCACACCGACCCGGAGAGGTTCTGATCATTCAGACTTGACCAGTTCTCCTGAGAGGATCAACCCCCTTCCCCCAGTATTAGCAACCCTGCTTTAAAAGTCTTGCACGTAGGTTTTCCCAACCTCCTAGCGGAGGCCAGGATACGAACCCGCAACCTTTTCCACCCCAATCCTGGCACTCTTTTCCTGGCGTCCGAGCTGCGGCAAGACCCCTTTCTTCCCGTTCTGCCTCGCGACTGGATCCCACAAAGCCATCCACGCCACACATTTCCTTACATGTCTTGCTCCGACTGTTGGGTTCTCTGTTGATGAAGAAAATCCGCCAAGGCAGGGGGGACGTCCAGATCTTCAGGCCGCTCCTTCCGTTCCCGCCGGCTTTTCGAGAGCACTGCGGACCAGGAGGCGGAGGGCAAAGGAATTAAACACACTTTCTGTATGCGCCTCGTCCAGGACATGTCTTCCCTGAACGTCTTGAGGTGGCCTGAAAATTTTATGGCAGCTCCCGGGACAGAGGTCTCAAAAATACTCTGGCAAAACCAGAATACAAGGGAGGAAGCCTCATGGCTAATGGCATCAGGAACGCTCAGAGGTGGGGAAATATTGCTTTTTTGTTTTTTGAGACTACGCCACCACAAATGGAAGCAGCCAGGGATGGGGAACCCACTTTTACCAGCCTACGGTTTTTGCGTTTTGCAAGAGAGGGCCTTGATTTCTGCTCCTGGGCCGTAACCCAAACACCCCCCACCCCTCCCTGCTGACCTCCTCACCTTCAGGCAGGGGCTTCAGAGCGTTGGGCTTGACGAAGAGCTTGGGGACAAAAGGGGTGTTGGCATTATCCACCTTCTCACGAAACCGGAGCTGGGGCCGGAGGATATTCTTGGCGTGAAGCAGGCGGAATGTCTCCCGTCGGCTCTGCTTGCCTCCCTCGCTGCTCTGTGTGAAAGAAGGGAACCAGTCAACCCCACTGGAACTTTGAATATGGTAAGCCCCCCTCGCCCCCACCCACAGGATATGCGGTTTCACTTATCCGCCACCTGGAAATATTAAAAATATTAAACAACCCCCCCAAGAATTATGTATTTCCATGATGCGCTTATCAGAAATGGACAGTAGAGAGAACCAGAGACCACGCTATGTAGAAGGTTCTCTATTATCCAGTTTTCAGCATCTGCGGGGGACATGGAACCGATCGCGCCCCCACCCACAGGATATGCGGTTTCACAGACCAACCAACAGAAAGGCCAAATAGCGGGGCTGTGTGTTTATCCGCCACCTGGAAATATTAAAAATATTAAACAACCCCCCCAAGAATTATGTATTTCCATGATGCGCTTATCAGAAATGGACAGTAGAGAGAACCAGAGACCACGCTATGTAGAAGGTTCTCTATTATCCAGTTTTCAGCATCTGCGGGGGACATGGAACCGATCGCCCACAGATATGGGGGTCCTACTGTATTGGTCTCTAAAATTTTTTTTCACAGACCAACCAAGAGAAAGGCCAAATAGCGGGGCTGTGTGCGCATGCCCACTTTGGAGGAACGCTGTCAATATAGTAAACAACCTCTTTTCCCCGCTCCCTCCAGTGCTCGTTTCCCAACTGAAAATCCACGGCTAGGGTGACCACTTTTCTTTTTGCTGAGAGCCAAATTCCTGCAGGGAGGATCCATTAGGAGCCACATGCCAGCACCGCGGAGAAATAAGTCCCAAAGTAGGTGGAATGAGAAGCAAAGGCAGGGCAACACAACCCTTTTCTCTCTTGGCCGCTATCCTTTTTTCTTGCGGGATCTAATGCCAAAGTCCCTTGATCCCTCTTTTTTTCTCTCCCAGCCTCCTGGAAGAAGAGTAACCTGCCCTCACCAGTGGCCACGCTAATTAATCCCTAGCAGGAAGCCTTGGGAATGAGCCAGAGGGCCTCCCACTGCGCATCCCCGTCCTACTGAGAAATCAACACCCTCCAAATTTCCACCTTGCGGTTCCAGCTGGAGATGATGGTCTTGGGAGGCTGCAGGCCTGATGGAAGGATCGGTTGCTGGTTCTTATTCACACCTGATGCTTCGTCTAAGAGGATGCCCTGAAATGGCAGAAAAAGGGAGACGTCACCCTGGGAGAGAACAAATATGCGCACGTACGGACCGCAAAGCCCTACCTTGCAGGGTTGTACTGGGGATAACGTGGGTCAGCCGTTTACAGTGTCTTGAGGCCAGCAGAAGGAAAATGGGATATGCACATAAGGAATAAACAACCTAACAACTAGACACTCGGGGGATCATTCTCTCTGTGCTCGGGTGACACTCACCACTCTTTCTAGAATGGCATCATTGGCATCCACCAGCAGATCAAATTTGTCCTCTAGCTCCGTCACCTTGCTGTGGTCTCTGAGGTGGCTGCGGCATCCATGGTACTGCATCACTCTACTCATGCTGATTGGGGGGAGGGGGAGGGAAAAACAGAGCAGGTGTCAATCCGTGTATGTAAGAACGCCATGAAGTAAAGCAGGGTAGGTTGTGCCAGAAGGAGAGTTCTGTCTGGCTCTCCCTGGCCCAAGCAGAAGGGCGAAGCCACAGAAGGGGGGCAAGCGGCGGAAAAGCAGACTGCCTGAGACGTGGGAACTCACCAGTGAAGCAGCCGGTCTCCTTGCGTTTCACAGTAGGCCTGGAAGCCAGGGAAGCTCCGGTAGAAGTCGTACTCGTCTCCTGGCTGAGGGAGGCCACTGGACGCTTTGGTGGCTGACACCACGGTCCCGAGGGCATGCTAGGCAACGAAAGCAACAAGGGTTCAAGTGACGAAACCTTGGCCCCAAGGGGCTCAAGATGCATTGGGCTCCTCCTCTGTTACTGTCTAGCCACCTCCAATTTTCTGCACCCAGTGACATAGCTTTCCTCTAAAACAGATCTGTTCAGATAAGCTTGGGGAAGTTATTTTCTGGCCTGCAAGTCCCCAGCTCTCCTAGTCAGCTCGATCTCCAGAAGCTGTGGTCTTCTAAACAACAACAACAACAACACAAGAAGGATTCCAAGCTGGCCCATAGCTACTAATAGAGGTAGGCAAGCCATGGCCATGCTGCCTAAGGGAATTCTGGGAATTGTAGTCCGGAAAAAAGGAACTTTTCAAAGTTATGGCATCCTCTGTCAACAAGGAAACACACGGCAGGAGAGTTTTTGCAAACTATAACGGAAACATGGAATTTTTCCAAACTTAAGCCATCACATGCGTATAGAAGCTCATACAATAAACCACTTAAGGACCAGGAAACTACACCTCCCGCCATACCTGGCGGCCCCCTCGCCAATCAGCGCCCGCCGTGGGCGCATGCGCTCTCCCGCTCCTTCCTTTTTTTCCCCTACGCCCAGGTACCTTCACGAAGGAATCGGCGTCCTTAAATCCGGGCAACACCACCTCCGCCTTGTCCGCCTCCATCCCCGGCGCCCCGACGGGGCCTCCGAGGCTCCCCTCCGGTCCCGCCGCCTCCATCCGCTTCCCCGATCCGAGGCCCGACGCGCGATGGCCGCTCCGGTACCTCACTCGGCAGCCGCCATGTTGGAAAGCGCTCCCCTGGTTGGTGGGGGGGCGGGGCGCGGAAGGAAGACAAATCTCGCGCGCTCTCGCGAAATCGCGGGATGGGACCGCAGAGATCGTTCAAGTTGAAAGACTCACATCCCGTCTTTCGTGGGGGACCAACTTCCGGGTTCCGTCTGGTTTAGATGTCACCTACGAAATCTCGCTCCTGGGTCAGATTCTCCCACCCCACCCCCACGGTAATAATTAAGTAAAACCAAATAAAAATTAAGTAGATGCAAACAAAAATCAATCAATCAATTACGGAATTTACTACTCTTTATTGATTTATTACTTGCTAGCAAACAGTACTATAATTGTTCCAGAGAAGGGAACCTTAGTAACTGAATTTGATTATCCTCGCTCGGGTGTTTTTTCTTTTTCTTTCTTGGCTTGTTTCTCTCTTCAGATTTTCAGCCTAAAGTGCAAGGACTAGACTGACGCTTTTAATTGATGGGCTTGCCCATCCCAGAGAAGGGAACCTTAGTAACTGAATTTTATTATCTTCGCTCGGGTGTTTTTTTTCTTTTCTTTCTTGGCTTGTTTCTCTCTTTAGATTTTCAGCCTATAGTGCAAGGACTAGACTGACGCTTTTAACTGATGGGCTTGCCCATCTTTAGAACAAAGCATAAATGCTATTCAACCCTGAGTGCTCACTGGAAGGACAGATCCTGAAGCTGAGGCTCCAGTACTTTGGCCATCTAATGAGAAGAAAATACTCCCTGGAAAAGACCCTGATGTTGGGAAAGTGTGAAGGCAAGAGGAGAAGGGGGACGACAGAGGATGAGATGGTTGGACAGTGTCTGCGAAGCGACCAACATGAATTTGACCAAACTCTGGGAGGCCGTGGAAGACAGGAGGGCCTGGCGTGCTCTGGTCCATAAAGGGGTCATGAAGAGTCGGACACGACTAAACAACAATAAATGGTATAAATTAACGTAGAGCCTGCTTTTCTGCCTGACAGTGGCAGGAAAAGTGAGCAAATCAAACAACGCAACCACGGCAGGACAAGTAATAAACAGCAAATAAATGTCCATCTGAAAAGGACCCCTCCTGATTGTAATGATCAGCAACGATGTGCGCGCCTACCCTTGGAATTACGGTAAGGAAATCTCAAGGCGATGGAAGTGATTCTACAGCGACGCCTAGTTGGGAAGCCTAGGACCGTGTGCGCATGCGTATTCTGAACTCCGGTGCCGACCAGGACGGAAGCCTCTGCGGCGTTCCACGAGCGACTTCCCATTTGCTTTCCCCTTATTGGTGCGGAGAGAGCGTCAGTCTCCCGCGTCCCCTTCTTGGATTGGCTGGGTTCTTTCTTCCACCGTGTCTCGTGCGGCTCCCCCTTTAGAGAGGTGAACGGTGGAAAAAAGAAAAAAGGGAGGGGGGGAGAAGGCCCTTTCATGGCAGAGGGGCGGGAACAAGCGGTGGCCCCTCCTTTTCTCTCCTCCTATTGGTCCGCGGCTTGCCCATTCCGGCCTTCTCGGAGGCCGATTGGCTGATTTTGCCGGTTAGGGACAGGTATCGACAGCCGCTGAGGAGCGTGTGGGGGGCGGGGAGAAGGAGAAAACGGGCCTCGGCGGAGAGAAGGCGCCTTGGAGGCTGAGGCGGCGGCGGCGGCGGCTCCTCCTCTGAGGGGGAGGAAGGATGGAAGGGGCCGGCCGGTCTCCGAGGTAGGCCCCTCCGTCCTTTAAACTGGGGGAGGGGATTCCCGCCCTTTTCGCCCGTCCCCATAATATATTCCCTTTTTTTGTGGGGGTGGTTGTTTTTTTACCTCAGGATTTGAACCTCTTTTCCTTCCTCCGTCGTCGCCAAGTTCGGGGGCGGGATCCAGACCCGGAGGGGGGGGTGTAAATCATCATCCTCATCTAGATTATCCCGGTGGGGGTGGTTGTTTTTTTACCTCAGGATTTGAGCCTCTTTTCCTTCCTCCGACGTCGCCAAGGTCGGGGTCGGGATCCAGACCCGGAGGGGGGGTGTAGGGGTGGTTGTTTTTTTACCTCAGGATTTGAGCCTCTTTTCCTTCCTCCGACGTCGCCAAGGTCGGGGTCGGGATCCAGACCCGGAGGGGGGGTGTAGGTCATCATCCTCATCTAGATTATCCC